GATAACGACTTGTTGACTTGTCCTTCGTTCTTTTCATCTCAACTTTACCGAAATTGCAATATTTATATTAGAAATTCATTATCGAAGTCAATTTCGACTTTAGTTTGAGCTAAAAAATCTTATGAATGATTATTAAACAACAGCTCATTGGCAGAAGTTTTATCATATCTTCAGATTTTCCTATTTTTCATGTTGGTCCTTTGATCCTGCGGATATTAAATATGGTATTGTTACTATTCTATCCAATTATGTTGAAATAAACAAATATAGTCAGGAAAATAATACCATGAAAATTAAGAAATGCAAGTTCTTATAGTGAAATTTTTGATAAAAAAGGAAACTCTTAGGTTATATCACCAATCGAATTTTCAACTGAAATCTTGAACACTTTTAGATCAAATTATGCTTTGACGACTTTGATAGAGCTTTTTGTACTATAAAAAGCCTATATATGAATTGTATTTATTTTTAAATTTAATGCTCAATTAATGCGCGAGATGTAATGTGGAAACGAGGTTATTCGGAGGTCATCGCGGACAATGCATCTTTACTGGACATCCCCTTGTCCATCATTCTTTTGTGGATTATCGCATACCCCTTTTCCTCTTCTCGTCATCGTTCTGTTTAGTATATTTTATTAAAATCATTGCATTTTAATTTTTTTAAAATTTATTTCATCCACATTTTCTCTGTTTTACGATGCCTTCTTTACTTCCTCATTGCTGCTATTTAATTTCTATACTTTGGTTCGTCAATCAAATTTGTTTGTAAGACAACTGAACAAAACATTTTATCTTGATCCACAGTTCTGTAGCATCATTTTTTACTAATATTAACTAATGTAATTCAATGTGCTACAACATGCCATTTGATTTAGCATGGAAACCAAATATCGCTGATGCATTATAACCATAATACTAACCATTTCTATGAGCCTAATCTCACTCCTAATTCAAAACGAATCTGAACTTTTTAGAAGTGTTTAAGAATTGACAGAAATCATTTTGAGCATCATGACATCATGATTTCATTTGCACTCTTCGGCGCAAAAAAATAAGATTACCATCAGAAAATTCAGGTAGATAGGATTTTTTTCTCTACTTCATTTTATTCCATGACAGAATGACTGAAACAATTACTCTCTGGAAAATCATCCAGCTAATAGTTAGTGAGTCTAATTAGAAATGATAGGTGCTAACCACTTATAACTATGCCTAAATTACTCTTTTTTCATACCATTATCAACTTATTCGCAGATTTAAGGAAAACGACATATCTTCATATCTTCATGATTCTTATTCGTATTTGTCGATGTCCTCTTCATTTGACCTTTCATTTATAGAATCATGAACAATGGAAGAATTTCAATAAAAAAGAAAAAAAAAATTTCCAAGATATTGTTCATCCATTTTGATCTGAATATTTAAAGGATATTTGAGAAGAGTTATAATTCTTTTTTATCTTAACGATATAATGCATCATTAAAAATTTTGTTTTGGCAAATTTTTCTCTATTTCATATTTACTTCCAGAATTTGATTTTTTAGCCGGATTCGATTTATCCAGAATTTATGCTAAAATCCTCTACTATTGCTGTTTCCTCTATTGTTAAAGTTGCGTAGAATCAGGTTACTTTGTTAATTTATTCGTTGTTTCAGTATTGGAGTTGAATTGTTTCACCTTTTGAGATGGTTTATTTACTATTGGCATAAATCATTTTCTCTGTAGATGGTGTAGAAATAAGATTACCAATAACTCGTAATTTTTTTCTTTAAATATGAAAGTAGAATTAAAAATAAATTTGAAAGTAGAATTAAAAATAATATAACTATAATGTAATAGTTTAATAATTTAACTTTACTAAAAGATTAGTATAGTTAGTACAGTATAGCAAGGTTAGTGTAATAGTGTAGTAGTATAGTTTTTTAAAAAATAGATTAAACCTAAAATTTTTTTCAAACTTTGAATAAATTCTTAAATAAATAAATAATTTAATAAATAAATAATTTAAATAAATTCGACAGATGGTTAACACAATAATTTTTTGAAAAATTATTTTATAAAAAAGTACTATGCGGTATTTTCAAAAAAAAATAAAACGTATAAATTTCTGAAATAAATTTAGGTCAAGAATTCCAAATCAAGCATATGACCCTAAAAGACTGATAGAAACCACCCTATTTTTCTGCCATGTTCGCATGTATAAATAAATTAACAGGAAAAATTTATTTCAAAACTGGGTTCCAATATTCTTTTTTTTGGTCAAGGGACTCTGATGACCAATTCTGTTTTGATTATATTCTTAAACATATCAAAAAATTATTGACTCAAACCACTATTAGCTTTTTTCATTGATATAAAGAATAATTTTTTTCCATCTATAAGATATCAACTTTTCGAAAAAAAAGGCTTAATCTTCCACAAAATCCATATTGCTTTAATTTATTTTCCTTTGCGCTAATATTTGATATTTAAAGGCTTTAAGCTCTTTAGAGCAATGGTGCTTCAGCCTAAATTCAGGCAAAGTTCTTTAAAAACCATGATTATATCATGTGTTCTGCCTAAGCCTTTATTCGATAATTAAATACCACCATCAGAAGGTAAATTATGCCACAATGTTCCACTTTTTTCGCTTTAAATTCTCAAAAAATTTGATAAAGAAGAATTGAAAATACGTTTACAAGGGGATTAATGATTTGGTGTGGTGAATGCGTTATCAAAACATTAAGGAAATTGAAAGAATCATCTTAAATTTGAAAATGAAAACAAATTAGAAAAAAAACAATATAATCTTCATTATTAAATACTTAAAAAGTGAAAATCCTATGAATACCGAAAAAATAGGGAAAAGCTGCTTATGGATTACAACATATTTGTATTAAACAATGAGGCAAGCGAAGCAATGCCAACAGTGGAGCTGAAGAAGAAAGTAGTTTGTATATACATAGTCTATCATCTAATTTATCGCACATTTAAAATCTTCGCTTTTCGAAATCATCTCTTTTTAATCGTTTAGAAACCATTGTAGAAATCTACATGAATCCAAAATACCCTTTAAATAAGGTTTTATGAAGAGATTTGTTGCAAGAAAATTATTTCAACATGACTAACTTAAAAGCAAGGTAAGAAATACGGGGCATCAGCTTATAATTTGATTTTAGCTTAATAACTTTAATTTTAACTTAACTTTATTTTGAAGCACCAAAATTAAATATATATTTATAAATATATGAATAAATATATATTTCACAGGTTATTTGCTGCACGCTTTCCATTAAAAACGTCTACTGAAAAAGGTAAAAAATTTTGCAGTTAGCCAACATCGCCACATCGCCACTTTGCCTTTAAGAATACTTCTGATAAAATGGTCTTATTCTAATAGTGAGCCAAATCAGAAGTAGGAGAAAATGATGAATTATCTTAAAAACTTAAAAATCAAGTCAATTAAGCCAAATTTTAATAAGATTTAAATTCTTGCAACATATATCATACAGATATACACATATATGCATGTAATATATATTTTTAATGATATGGTGATGCGAAGCTTTTTAAAAATCCAGCCAACCTTTTTCGAAAATAAGGTATCAATATCGTTATTGTGGATGACCTAATCAGTGAACTTGAATTATCATTTCATTAAAATACTTGCTAGTTTCTCATAATTTTATCGTTTATATAAACATTCTTTTACTATTTATAATAAAATGGCGTTAGCTTGCAATTTTTAAAATTTAGACATCCAAATTCTTATTTTTTTCTTGATTTTTCTGGATGAATGCATTTATAAACATCAAAGGGCATTTGTCTGTCAAAATATTTTATTCGCATTTATATATATCTTCAATAAGAAATGAATACAATTGCATAATTCTCGATTTTTTTTTGTGTTCTTATTATTTAATTGCTATTTCTATTTTTTTTAGTTTCATTTCCGCTGTGAAAGATTTCTTAAAACTCATCTGCTGTGGTATAGTTGGTAAGCAGAATAGGTTTCCTTCACCATTCGGATTTTATTGTGAATGCGAAGTTTATTCCTGCCAAATGGCATGAATGGAAGCCACAATAGTTGAACTTATCATCACATTCAATTAAGATTTTGTCAAAAATAATCAAAGATATTTTGGCATAAATGTTGCCGAGTTTTACTCAAACTATCTATTAAAGTGACTAACTATTATGAAAATTATCAATAAAAAAATTCACGTTTAAATAAATTCTATTAGGATTTGAAGTTGCCCACTACTTTATTCCTATTCGAATTTTCGCTCAAGAATATTCAATTTTTAGTTATAAAGTATTTTCTACTCGTAAATATCCTTATTTGTCAATTATAGAGTATTTCCTATCCATATTAACATCGTTGAAATTCGCAATTTCATCGAGTTACACTGGTGAAGAAGAATAGCCGTATTGAAAATGGCTCAGACAACTTTATGCGTTCGATTTCTGACAGGAATAAACCTATTGCTAAAAAAATCCAAGTGGTGCTGGTTTCTTACTTCTGATCTATACTTTTAATTTAAGCTCTAACAATTAGAAAAGCTGGGATGATCATCGTTTACTTATTTCTGAGCGATATATAGATCTTAAATTACAAATGTTTTTCGTTAGCACTTTGTTGCAAAATTAATTCCATATTGGAATGAAAATAAATGCAATAAAAAAATTGAAAAAAAAGTTTTTAAAATGTCTTTTAAGTGGTTGATTGGTTTCATCTCTTGATTTGCACATTATATTGGTTATATACCAGCAAGATTGAAGATTTACTCTCTAAAATCGTTGCTTGAAACTGGTTGTGTACATTCAAAATGTTAAAATATTGATCCAGAATACAGCATAGTAGAGTTTAGTTACTATTGAATTTTTGTTTGTTTTTTTTAAAGTATAATTTTATAACTATGCGTATAATAGAAATTTTTTGAAAGAGAAGTAAAATTGATTCGTATTTTTGATTGGCAAAAATATATGCACCAATTATATATAATGTCACATTGCAGTATTCCAAAAACTGACCTGGGAAGAGCAAGTGAAACTGGTACCACCCATGCGATGAGTACTGAGCCCACTTCAGCTTTTCGATCTCCTGTAATTACCTCTTCAACTTCAGTGAAACGCGAACATCCAATCGTTGTTCATCCACAACCAATTAAGTAAGAAGATAATCCATATCAGATGTAAATGACAAGGAAATAAAACTCAGTATAAGATTAATTTAAACTTAAATGCGCAAAAAAAATGATTGATAAATATAGTTAAAAAAGTATAAAAAGATTTCTCAGTTCGTGCTTGAGGGTTCTGATAGAAAGAAAAATTAAGTAAGCCATTATCAGAAACAATGACTTTTATATCAAATTATTTACCGTTTTGTATTCAAACAAACTTCACGTAAAAAAAGATAAGACTCAGAGTTTAGTTTAAGCACCAAAATATGCACCTTTTTACGCTTAAAATTATGCTCAGAAATACGGTTAAATACGAGATATGAAAAGGTTAATTCGAATGAGACTGTGAAGATAAATTATGAAAAAAATTCTGGCAAAAGTTAAGAATTCAAATTAATTTAAAAAATTGGGAATTGAAACATTAAAAGTTTGCAAGATTAAAAATTATGTCGATAAACCTTACTTCTGCAAGAGAAAATATAAGCCAACACGACTTATTAACGATCTGCGTAAAAAGACCTTACCAACGCTATTATAACACCATACCGATTTAGAATTTCCAGTTGCAGTTTTTTTCAAGTTATTTTTGGATTTTAGGCCTTATTCACATCACGATCCACTTGCATTGTATAGTTTTTATCTGAGTCAAATGGGTCACGGGCTGAATTTTCAACATTTAACGCAATTAAATAAATCAACAACAATTGCTCGGCCACAACCTATACATCCAGCATCATTGTTTGGTGCTACTGTTATAACCAAAAATCAGTGGGATGATGCCAATGTTCTAAGAAAGGAGCCATGCAGGTCAGTATCAGTATTAATGATAAGCAAATTCATTTCGTAATCAAAATTCATTTTTGGTTTAAAATAGCAGAGGCAGATTTAATCATAATACAAATAGAATTACTTTTGGCGATTTTACTTTTTGCCCATTTTATTAAACTTTTGCTTACTAAACAACTGTCAGAGATGTAAAGAACTATTCGGTCATTAAGGGATATTAGAGGGAAAACTTTGAGCTAATTTAAAATACATTGGGTATTGGGGCAGTGAGAAGACATCTGGGTAACACGAATAAATAACTTTGTTTTCAAATTAATAAATTCGCCTAATGCTAATGTTTTATATTACTTATTTTATTAGTTAATTTTTAATACTTGTCGGAGTAGCTGAAAATTTTTTTAATTAATTAAGTCCCGACTCACCTCAAAGTGCTGAAACGTCATCTTCACGATCAACCCGTATCGGGTCGGATCGAAGCTCGGATAAATTTTCTTGGCTTAGTCATTACAGCGCTGATGTCAATGCTATGGTAAATAATTCGAATTTAAGCAGCCCGTCGCTCCCTTCAGGCAAATATTTTCTGAGTCAATTTTCCCATTTTTTCACTAATTCCATTTTCAATTTTTTTTTCACGAAAATTCTCGCAAATAATTATATTGAACATAAATATGCATTTTTTAACGACCTTTTTATCTGAAGAGTTTTAAGCAAATTCAAATGGATCCAATATAGCGTATACATGGCCAGCGCGACCAACTGAATTTTCTTCAACACTGGTTGTTGATTACGGTGTTGATGATCCTTTATTTTGCGCGATCTGTGGTGATCGTTCTTCAGGATTACATTATGGAATCTATACATGTGAAGGGTAAGCACTAAACTCATTTCTTATGCTCACAAATTAGTAGAATCTATCTGACAGTTCAATATTAATTGCTAAATATTTTGGAATTAATAGAAGAGAAGTTTTTAACGTCATGATTTCCCTTTTAAAAAATTATTATTATATGTAAATATAAAATTATATGTAAATATAAAATCCATTCGAAAATTTTGGTTTTCTTTCCATTATTTTTAACAGTTTTTCAAGCAGTAATTTTTTATTTCATTTTCTTAATTTTTTATTGATTTTAATAGAAGAATTCACTTTCTTTATTTATTTGCCTACTCCATGATTCTTATGATTAATTACTATCTTCTTATTCGAATAGTAATCTTCTGGACAGATGAGTAAGTGGGATTCCTAGCGCCAATCGGATTTCATTTTTATTAGCAGGTTTACTCTTATTATGATGCAAGAGCCTCAGGCGAAGTAACACTCGACCATCTTGATATATATATATCGTTCATTTTTTTATTCTATAGGCATTAATCCATCACGATGAAATTGGTGTTCTAATTTCAAGAATTTGTTCCATTTCAAATAAGGGCGTTTTTTCACAGTTTTGTTTAATTTGATGATCGAGCAACACTATTGACACAGTTGATTCTTATGATGTCTCCTAATGGTTAATTTTTACGGTTGGTCAATTAATCAGATAAGCTTCATAACAACGAATAAAGAATATAGTCGCTTAGGAGACTGGTAATTTGCGCAGCTACTAACTAACTATCCACAGTTTTATCTATTTTTATCTACTGTTGCTCATAATTTATTTTATCTGCCACAAATATTGTTAGAAAGTAATAATTTAACAATTGATTTGCGATTATGAAAAAGTTATTTCCTACCGTAAACCTAATTATTTACGTATTTATCGCAATATTAATATTAATATTATTTTTGACTGCTGTGGCTAAAAGTTATTACTGCATTTTTGAAAATGGATGCCATTCTTGACGTTTACGGTGAAAACCTGCAGATTGATAATCAATCGTTTATTTTTTTGCCTTTCTTGGTGGTTTTTGGTTTATAAACGAATCTTAAATCTAAATCTTAATAACCAAGTAATGAAAAATGATAAGAATTATATATATAGAAATTTGCAAAACCAGTGAAGAAATAATTATAATCACTGTTCTACTAACAGTGGCAATGGCAATAATAATAATAACTAATAATAATTAAAACAATGATATTAATAATAATAACAATAATAGTAATAATGATGATAATAATTAATAACAATGATAATAATAATAAATAGCTACAAAAAATAACAATAAAAAACAATAAATAATAATAACAATAACTGCAAATTATAATAGTTAATAGTCTGAGATAAATTAATTTATAGAATCACCTACTCGCCATTTTTATTTTTTTGTGCAAAAAGTTACATTTTAAAGGGAAAAAAGTGGCTGATATACTAAAACTGTTCCAAAATCATGAAAACTGTTTCACCAGCTCGACAGTTCTGCTTTTATTATAAATTTTATTACAAATTCAGACTCTTTTCGCAAAAGACGAAAACGTCGCTTCAATCGATTTAAAAAACTCAACTCACCCTATATGTCTTTGAGAATGAGAATCTATCATAATTTCTATATAAAGAATCTGCTTTCCAATAATCATCTGCCATGTGCAATTTATGAGTTTTGTCCAATGCTACATATGACCTCTATGGGATTCTTTACATAGAAAAAGTGATGTGCACCGCTAGCAATAAATCGAACTTGGTGATTTCGCTTTTTATTGCTTCTTAATGGAACAGATTTATAGGAGTTTAATTTCATGAAGTGAGTAAGACTACGAGTGATGTTTTTTATGTTATTTAGTTTATTCTTATTATCTAGAGTGCGATTTAATTTATTAATTTGGTCATACATATCGCTATTAAGCAAATTTTTCCAATTTAATTAAGCCTTAAGTGAGTAAAATCATTTTTACAGGATTTATTGTTTTTGTTGATTTTGTCAAAACGGCGATTTTATCGATAAGATGGCATTTCACATTCCCCTTTCTCAATATCACCTTTTCTTCTTTTAAAAATGCATATTCGTGGTTTGACTTGTCCCACTGCCACTATGCCTAAGAATAGCTGAAGCCATTACTTTTTCCACCGCCAAAGTTTTTATTTTTATTTTTCTCTTATAATGAATATAACAAAAACATATTCACTCTAGTTGATATATTATCAATATTTCTTTTTTTTAAAGAGCGCTTACCACTGCTGGTTAAATTCGGTCCGCTGGCTAGTCAGTCGGATTAGACAAATATGCCAGGGAGTCCTCTGGTACCAGAAGTGCAGGTGAATCGCCAGATTATTGGTATTTATGTATATTTAACTATAAGATTATTACTTTCTTTAGATAAGAAAACTATTCAAATCCCCTTTCTTTTCATTCATTTTTCATTGTTCCTTAAATATGGTAGCAAAACCTATAAAATCTTTTTATGTGAAATAATAGCTCTATAACTTATACAGCTAGTTTTGTCTAGATTGTTTATAAAATAGTAATTATTTTAAATGCTTTTATGATTTCCTAATTTTTTTGAAATATTAACTTTAAATTTTGTGGTTTTCCTACAAACCCTTTCTGAAACTATATTAACCATTTGTATATCTTATAATCTTTCTATATCCTTTTGACAAACTATGTGAACGGCTGTGATACTTTTTGCTTTTGATGTTAACAATAAGCGGTTAGATTTTTCCATGCATGATAAAAAAAGAAAAACTGTGATTTCCAATCCAAATAACAATTTTGGAAATTAAAAAAATTTATATGGAAAAGTTATGCAGTTTTTTATAAATTTTGCTACTATTAGTCATTTCTTGACTGGCTGTTTTCACCACAGAACTGGAATGAAAGTACGGCCGGTCTAACAATAATAATCGAACCTATGATGGTTTGATATTAGTCGAAATAACATTGCCGGACTATTTTGTCCATGACAACCTACTACAGTTCGTGACGCAATATAAATAAGATTCTAATTTTAAGATTCTAACAACTGGATAAATAACCTTTAAAAGTTCATTCAGCAGTATTTGTAGGATGTTTTTCAATTCCACGTCAAATCTGTCTTTGATTTATTTTTGCAAATCCTTGCGATTGTCGATCTTTGCATATTTATTTCAGTATATTTTTCATTCATTTGAAAATGCTGTTATCCTTGTTTTGTGAAACTTGTTTGTACAACACACAGCGATGTTCTGCTGACTACAACGAGTAGTTTCTTATTTTTCCGGGTGGTCACTTAATTTGATTGTGTCGTGAGACTTTGTGACAGGCAGTTTTATATTTGTTCTGTTTTGATTTTAGAGTTGTTTTCTCGAATCTTTTTATTATTTTTGCAAAGTTTTAAGTGTATGTGTATTTTTTTCAAAACGTCAAATGCAATTTTAACTTATTGAAACCACTGATTTTTCTTATAATCTATTTAATAATTTGGCATTTATTTCAACAAGTTTGATTAGTTCCCATCATATACGTTTAAATTTTAGAAAAAATCACATTTCAATTTTCTTGCTTATATCTTTTTCCATTTTGCCTAAAACTGGGTAATATAGGCGACTAGTGCTTTGCTTATATCGTTATTTCAAATAACATGATCCTGTCTAAATTTTTAAAAAAATTCGTGTGTTTTCCTCCCGTGAGATTGGGAATTGAGTAAAGCGAGAAATGTTAATATTGACCATTAACTGTTTTACTACACATACAATTTCGATCTTTTGTATCCTGGATTTATATCATTCAAAAAAGAAGCAAAAATTTTACAGATTTGCCTAAAAGACAGTAGATAGTCGACATTCATATTTATATATCCGTCTTGGTTTTTATTTCTGCTTCATATTTATTATTTTTTCATATATATATATATATATACAAATTATCTAAAGATCATTTAAAAATCACTATTTAGACAAACGATATATATATATATATATAATTATCCATCATATTTCCTGAAAACATTGACATCAAATGGTCGCCCACGATATTTTCGAATATTTTCCACGCCTTTCAATATAAAAAGAGTAGAAAAGTGGAAAACGTGTTTGCCTGGCGAGCACATTTCCGCATTTTCCTCATTTTATCATTGTTATTATTTCTTGCAACAAATTGTTTTTGCAACAAATCACCAGTTTTTTGTTTCTTTTTTTCTCAATAATTATAAATTTGCTTCTAAGGCTTAGGAGAAATAAACTTTCCTTCGTTTTTTAATTCATTGCTGAAGAATACTCTGTTTTGCTATTAAATCTGTGATGTATTAGAGATTCTCCAATATTTCTTTTCCAATATTTCTAATGTTAAATGACTCTAGTGTGGAAGTATCATTCTGGTCGTTAGTGGAGCCAGCTTGACCAGAAATGGTGTATACTATTAGAAGCATACGAATAAAATATTGGAATTCGAAGATGAGAGAGAAGATGAGAGAAGAAAAAATTTAATGCAGAAACATTTTTTAACAATTATGATCGGTCTAAGAGGCTTATTATCAATGTTTCACTATTATCACCAAATTAATGATTGTTAACATTGATTGTCTGTTTTTTATGACCATTATGACCATTCTTAAGGAAACAAATAAATTAGATGTGGAATTTTGAAATATGATTCAACCATGTTTATTAATAATTTGACATGCATACATTCATAATAAATATGTACGCATGCATACATTCAGAGCATACGCATATATATAACTGTCTCTGTAACACAAAAGGATTAGTCCTTATATAAAAATCATGATATTAAATCTTAAAGATTTAACTCATATTTAATGGATTAATTTCTAGGTTTCTATTTTTCACCTTTTAAATTTAGTTTTTTACGCATAAAAAAGATTGTCAAATTAAATTAATCACAATTATAGCATAAAATGTGGTACCATTAATTCATCTCATATTTGATAATTGAAATTGTTGTTGGCGCGCATGTATATGGCTGCGTGAAGGCGTAATATAGGCCAAGGACGGGCAAAATACTTGTTTGATTAGCTTTAAGATTGCGTAAAATTTCAAAATTCTTTTTATTCATGTAAAATTTACTTTGCAAATTCCCGTAATATCATCGCAGCGCGAAATATTTGAACCTTTTCATTTGTCTTCAAATATATTTGAAAATTATCAAATTTCTGAGCAATCTGTCGCCGACCATTCCACTTTAAAGACCGGACAAGCAAGAAAATGCAAAATTTGCTACAAGGAATTGCTAGAATGGATAAATGATTCATTAGGTTTTGCTATTAAGATCGACCAATCATTATGAATTTTTCAGTAATCTTTTAGTATCATCGCCTGAAACGCTTATCATTTCTAGTTAGCCAGATTTCATTAATCACTTCATAATAAGAATACTTCTGCCAGAGGTGGTGATAGGAGTCTTAAGGTCACCCAAATTTCACTTTAAATAACAGGCTTAATTTTATCGAGCAACGGGATTCGAACTTTTAATGGTACCATCAGTTGTGCATTACTTTTTTTTCAAGAATTTAGTGACAAAAACTGAAAAAAGAATTGAATTGTTTTAAATCTTCCAAATTTTTAAATTAATGCCTTTAAGGCTTGTAGTTTTTTCCACTGAATTAATATTCTTTTCTATTTTCAATTATTTAGTACTTAATTAAATAATATCGGCTATGAAAATTATCATTAAGCGATATGAGGGTGCCATTAAATATTTGTTGTTCAAGGTCATGACCTTAAAATACATCTGTTGTCCCAATTCAAGGACTGTATCATCAATAATTAAATTGCACCTCTACAAAGACCGCATTACCTAAATAGTTCCGACCTTATTCAATTTTTGCGTCAATTTAAATATTAACAACTTGAATATTCTTTTTGACTTTAAATCAAATGAGTAAATAATTTTCGGTCTATTAGGAGATATAGAAAACGGTAGCATTTATCTTGACCTATTTTTTAGAATAATTTTGCGAAGAAATCCATTTATTCATTCATAATCAAAATGCCACCACTCCTGTTCTATTTTTCGAAACTTTATCTTAAAGCTCGAATTATTAATTATTTCTTGGAAATATCTTTTATCATATATTTTTTATATATATAAAATGAGCAAATAATAAGCAAACAAACAAAATTATATACTTGTATTAGAAACAAAAAACAGTAAAATAAGGAATAAAGTAAAATCGAAGTATTAAAAAAAGTAAGGGCAGGTCGAATAATATGGTTTTCTTCGACCTCCATCAAGCAACATGGGTACCTTGACTGATGAAAGCGAATGTGCCATTAAAAAATTGGTGGGATGCCAGCGACTTAATTTCCACCATATGGCTCATTGGCAACATCGTATTTCTAACCGTAGCAGCCAGCAGAACTAGCATGGCCAGAAATGATGAACGCTAGCTACTTACCTTACCTTTACCATTAAATAATACAAAAAAAGTGCAGAATGAAATTACAAACGAATAAAGCTAAGCAATTTTATGGATAGCAAGTTTTAAAAAAGTTTTAAAAAGTTGCTTTTGATTTTGTGAAAAACTCCACATTTTTTGTGGACCATTCCCAGCGTCAATCCTCTTTTCCAACTGTGCTTTTAAAATTTTGACGCGTGAATTTTTCATGATGACTTCAATAATAAATAAATATCTTGACCACGATTCTTTTTATCGATGGTATTTCGAGAACTAGATGTATTTCAAGAACAAGAATCAGCTTTATGCCACAATTTAGTAGCCCGTGAAGATAGATGTTTTTTTAATAATTTGTAGGCTTTTTTAGATGTTTTTTTAATAATTTGTAGGCTTTTTTTCCTTTGCTTAATTTACTCTATTCCAAAAAGTCCAAAAAGTTATACAAATATCGATCATTTGAATGATAGTTCCAATATCATTTGAAATGGTGTACCTCTTACCCCAAGTGGTTTTCTATGAACGAGCGATGGAGATTTAGCAAGATTTAAGGTAGTTAGTCACTTGTTTATTTCTTATATTTATTTATTTCTTATATTGTTCTTGCTTCTACGGAGAAGCAATTTATTCCTTTAAAAAATTAACTATTTCAGGTGTAAAGGGTTTTTTAAACGTACGGTACAAAACAAACGTGTATATACGTGTGTCAGTGGCGCTGGGAACTGTCCTATGACAAAGGAGCAACGTAATCGGTGCCAATTTTGTCGTTTTCAAAAATGTTTGCACCAAGGCATGGTTCTTGAAGGTTAGCCTTATTTGATTATAAGAAATTTTTTTCTAAAAATTTAGCTCGTCATGGTGCATAGGAAAAAATTGAACCAGAGTTGAATTGAACCTAACCAGAGTTTAATAGAATAACTGTTCTCTTTAAATTTTTTTTCAATCCGTTTAATTTTGATTTATTTTCTAAGAAAATAACGACAAAACCAATAAATTCAAAAATTTGAGTTTGTTAATTTTGTTGAAGTTTTTCTCCCCTTACTACTTTGCAATCGTTCATCCAGTTCTTTCAACTTAATTAAATTCAGCATATCAGTTGTGCAACTGACAACTGTGAATATAGTTTTCAAGATTTTTGTCAAATTTACATACTTTAAGCTGTGCGCGAAGATCGGATGCCGGGTGGACGAAATGGTAGCGCTATTTATAATTTATACAAATTGAAGTACAAGAAAAGTCAACGGATTCATGCATTATGTGAAACAATCCTTAAAGATAATGTCTTAAAGCAATCACCTTCAAGTAGCCCACCGGTAACTTCATCTGCATCGTCTGTACAACCCAGCACGGAGCCTCTTAATCTTTCAATAAAAATGGAATCAGCAATCAAGATGGAGACCATTGCGCCAATCTATACTTCAATGGTACAACCTCCCACGCAAAACAAGAATTTAATACAAGTACTGTATTTTAAAGGCTATTTTTCCACAATCTTTTTTTCCGTTCTCATTTTTGTAACCAGTGAATTTAAATTTGATTTGTGGCCAGGAAATTTTTTAAAAGTTATGCAAAGGCTTTTTAACACTTATTTTCTTCACTTCACTTTACTTTAAATCGTGGATTTAGTAGATTTGTGACTTTTTTTCTGAGGATTCAAAAGCTTTATGGAAACTGATGGAATATGAAGATTCATGGGATCTAGTATGGTATTCACCAATTTATACCTTATTCTTCAGTTTAAAAACTCCTTTTTTAGGAACTCATTGAAATCGATCGGATAGATAGCCTAATTAACTTAAAAGGTTTGCAAATCCCAGAGAACATCGAATGTGGATCAGATGATATGCCAGCTTGTCAGAGATTATCGCGCATTGGAGACGAAATTGTTGAACAGCTGGTTGAATGGACAAAAAGACTGCCATTTTATCATGAGTTACCCGTTGAGGTGCACACACATCTATTGACTCAGAGGTGGGCTGAATTGGTAAGTTATTCGAGTTTTCCCTTCTCTATATCTTCCATGGCTTTTTTTCATATTCAATGCTTTGAATAATTTCAAGTTGATTAGTAAGTGAAAATTCAGTAGAGAAAATTTAGTTTTAGTGAATTTAGCAAATTTTTTACCGAAATTAAGAAGCCATGAAGGCATAATAAATAGCTGTAATAAGCGTACTATAATGGAATCGATGTAGCTGAATGGTGACTGGCATCTGTAAAATATTTCCTTTTAGGTACTTTTGTCTGCTTGTTTCCATGCAACAATAACAGCATCTACGACATCTACGATACATAGTGATCTTCCAGTAAGCTCAACTACAAAAGATGATGTGGAATCTGTTTCGTTTGTTGATGCATCAATCAATTTACGCTTACTTCAAAAAAGGCTTAGTGCTGTAATGAAGAAAGTCATTCCATACGAGCATGTCAATAAGTTTGTTTCGTAAAATTTCAAAAAAGTATACCGTTATAAAGTTATTTTAAACGAATGTTTAGAATTTTATATCAATAATTTGGATCAAAAGAGGAATTATTTCTTACAAATTTTTCTCCTCAAAGATTGTGATTATACTGATTATTATTTATTTCTCATTATTTCTTATTATTTCTCGATTTGGAATCTAAAATTTCTGATATTTATGAGAAATTATGTTTCATTAACTTATTTGTATCTGATTGTTGACATGTGTCAAAGAATTTCTTTCCAGGGAAGCAGCACCATTAGTGGAAAAATTCACTACACTTTTGCATTCATTCAGTCGTTTAAAAATAACTCTCGAAGCTTATGTTTGTCTGAAAGCAATAACTTTGCTTCATTTCACACCACCAACGATTGGTATGCTTTTTGAAATGCTAAATCGAATGAGCTTGGCAATGATTTTCGTTTTTTGAGAGCAGTTTGATTAGATAACTCGGAGTTTTGCTAGAGATCAATGTGTACTTCTATACTAAGTGGATTCCTGGTGAACTTTCAAAGCTAAAATTATAATAATTATAATTGTCGGTGGAAATTCGAATTAGTGAAAGCACAAAAATGTAAAATAAAGTAAAATAAACTTTATACTTGAGTGGGCCTACCTAATGCCAAAATTTATGTGGAACGAAGTAATAATACTGCTTTTTTGACGGGTTTTCAATATTATGGGCTATTGATATTGGTATTGTTTTAAAATAATATGAGTTTTTCGTTGCAACTAATCTGACGGTGGATAACTGGCAAATCAAGTCAAGTCGCTTTTTCCCAACCAAACTATGAAATTAGTCGTTAATCAATCATACCGATTGAACAGGTCCTTTATCTTATGCCATCTGTATTTATTTCACTCAAAAAGATCTGAGAAAGATTTGCCAAAAAAGTCAATTAAAATTTCCCACCACTAATATTATTCTCAAAATAAAAAATTGCAAAATGATTCGATGCCTTGATCCTGAAATTTTCAAAATAAGAAAATATAAAAAATCAAATAACACGCTGAGAATAAAATTTTCATTCAGATTTTATGCAAATTTTTCAGATGATACGAACAATGAAATGAAAGATTCATTAATGCAAACGGCTTACATTCGTAAGGTATCAATAATCCAGGATCAGTTTGTTAAGGCATTACAAATTCATCTAAGTCAGCACGAAAATGGCGCTCGCCTTACCGATATTCTAACTTGGTACGGTTAATATTTAAGACCACCTAAAGCTTCATTTCCGAATTCCCATAACTTTTTTAGATTTAGAATACAGATTCAACTATTAGGCTATAATATACGTATAATAATATTTTGCAAAAATTTATTTGTTTAAATAAATTTGGCTGCTACTGAAGGCGTCTCAAAATATGAATAATAATTTACAGGTTACCGATGTTGCATTCGGCATCTTCAGTTCTTTTGCATAGCAAAATGTTTTACGTCCCTTTCCTCATTTGTAAAAATCCTGAACGGTCGCCTATCACATTCATCAGTAAAAACGAAATTGATGAGGAAGCAGTGATGAAAGTAGTTGATTCATAAATTGAACTGATGAATAATGAAGATTCTTAAGCAATAGAATGGATATAGGTTTAGTTTGGTCAAGTCTTGTCGTCTTGTAAAGTTTCTTTCAACTTTATTAAAATACTACTTCAAGTTCAAACTTCGTCTTTCCGCTTCAGCAGTACTGTAATTTAACCAGAAGCGATGACTTTTATATGAATAATAACTAAACACAATAATACTAGACTTCTTTAATGCCTGACAAATCACCTTGCAAAAATTTCTTAATAATTAGAATTTTTGAATTTATTTAAAACTTTATTACATTTTTTTGTACTTTTGTATTCTAAATCCAGTGTCTTTCATGTTTAATTTTTTTTGTTTTTCATTTATTCAATTTTTTATTGTTTCATTTCATTAAAATGTTTATTATGATTATTTTACGTATAATTATCTAAGGAAAATCGGTGATTTTTTTGATGAAATTTGTGATTAAAGTAATTGGTGCAATTTATAATAACTGACCTCATCTTTCACTGAGTTCAAGTTAAATTTTTATTAAAATGAAATGATAAATGTTAGGAATTTAAGGTTTCATAAGTTTGCAATTTGTGAAATTCCTGATAATTTTTTGGAAATTGTCTTCTTTAAGTGATGCCTACTTTCGGCTTCATTTCACTTGGGCTGGGTCACTATTTTAACATTTAATTTTTTTATAATTTATTTTTGTCTATACTGTAGCTTCTTCTGTCAGTTCAATTGGCTATTAACTGTTGAAATTCATGGGAACGGAAGATTACGGGGATTTTATTTTTTCTTCTATTAATTATGAATATTTCTATTCATATGGGATTAAGAAATGCGCTCGCTTCTGAATAAGCTATTAAACCCTGTAACCATTTCACGATAAGCTATGGTATATCTTTTTTCGCAATTCCAAGGTTTTAATCTGAAAAAAAAGCTATGAAAGGCGAAAAATAAAAGTGTTTTCAATCGTATTTTCATTCTCCGTAAATTGTTTAGCAACCAACGATAAAAGATTGTTGTATTAGAATGGTTGGCGTTTAAATTCCAAATAAATGAACGTACTTTGTTTTTTTTTATTTCGAAATCGATTCGAAATGAATATATAAAAAAGATTTTATCAAAAAATTTTACGTCAAAAATATTTAAAAAAACTGCCTTAATTAATTGCTTATGATAATTGATAATTGATAAATGATCTTTTTTTAGGAAAAATTTATTCCTAAAATTATTAAATCATAAGTAAATGGTTACTGGCTTTTTCTGGTTTACGCCTATTAGGATAAAATACTTATCAGAAAATCTCTTTAAGATAGAAGTATCGGTAAGTTGCCAACGCCATCCGGATTTTTCTTAATTTTTTTAAAGGTAAATTTAATCCAGGGCTCTCATTAAGTCACAACAGCTAATGAATGATGAAAGCAAATTTCGGATCCAGCAATAAGTGGGGAAAGTAGGAAAGGAGAATGAAATGAATATGACTGTGAAAATCATTTTTGGATTAAACGTTTTTTTTCGAATAATTTTGTAAATGGCTAATGTGTCATATTCAATTTTAGCTAGCCATGCCAATTTTCTGCATATATTTAATGAGATTGGTGAGAAAAAATAGGTCAGGAACATCACTTTCTTTTGCTCGCAGCTTCTGGTTTAATATGGCAGACGTGATAAGATTTTATGTGAGTACTGTTGGCTCATTAGCAATTTCATTCAGTAGCTTTTTCTTATTTCTTTTTCATAACGGCATTATTTCTCATGTAAAAGAATTACTGATGTATTATGATTTATTTACTATAGAAATCAGGGAATACCAGAATAAAAAATACTTTTACTTTTTCAGAAGCCAGTTAAATCGATATTGCTGAGCATTTGGTCGAAACCAAATCGATTGAGGAAGAAAAGCTTTGGATGGATACAAGAATCTGCCTTGGTTCATCTGAAACTTCCACCTTTCGTCACCTTTAACTTAGAACCAAAAAAATCGGGCAATACATGGCTTTCTAGATTGTTCTCGCTGTTATCATTAAGAAGCAGAAAAATCATGATACATATCCTATCCAGAAGAATGATATTATAAAAGGGTGGTGAATTTGGAATAGATCTTTTTTTTCATATTAAATAATGCAAAATTTACAAATCTATTATAAATTTTAGAAAACCTACTATGTCAGGAACAAGTGATGGCAAATTATAATTTGAATTCTTCCAGCCTTGTCTTCCATTGCGGAAAAGAGCTCCACGTAAAGCAACTGCAGATGATAGTACGCATAAAAATATTACAAAGCCTAAAATAATGAATTGCATTCATTCATTAAAACCAATGCTGAGAAGTAAAATAAGAAAGCCTATTTAGTGAAAAATCGTCAAAAACATTCAGTATCATTCTTAAACTTTTAAAAATGCAAAAGATTGCACAAGAAATAGAAAAATAAAAATGAAAAAGGTCAATATGGGTCCTAAAAAATAATAGATCTATTTCCACTAATTTTTCGCTTTTTGTTAGTTAACGGAATCAAAAATTGCAGAAAAAATAGAGGGCAATCCATGAATGTTATGAAGAAAAAATGCAGTCCATAAATTGAGTCGAACTGGAAACTGGGAAAACATTAAAAAATTAAAAAAATTAAAAAACATTAAAAAATGTTCAATTAAGCTGCTTTATTTCACCATTATTCCGAATCGGCACCGTAGTACTTATATAAATGAGACAGAAACGAAATCAAACGAGGTATGTCAAGCCATCTTAGATCCGATTCTCTTCTCAAACTAAAGTAAGCCTATGATTAAAGTAAAAGTGAAATCGAGGTAGAAAGTCTATCGCCAATTGGCTCTCATTTATGTCGAAGGACTATTCTCATAACCAGCTGAACCAGAAATGGAAAGTTAAAAGAAACGAGGTTTGAGAGGTTGATTCGATAAATAAATATGAATTAAATCTTAATTTTTATAATTAAAAATTTCTCCAACTTTTCTATCGGAGCAAATTTGAACAAAGCATAAGCTATCAGCACCTATAAAGCTATGTGCCGAAAATTTTTTCCTTATTGTGTAAAATGACTTATCAAATGACTTTATGTATAATGCATTATCCTGAAGTTTTTTAAAAAAATTTCAGAATAAAAATTCAAGGATTGGTCTGAAGTTTTTTTTTTTGTTTTGAATCGTTGAGTAACTATTGGTGCTTTTCAAGATTCATTAATTGTCTGCTGAAAAGATTGTACTCCAGTATTTAATAGTACCAGCCAGATCAAAAGTGGTGAATGCTGTTAGAAGAAGAATCTTTTACTAAATTGCCTCAATTATGTAAATAGGCTGTTATCGCTCTCAAACCATTTCTGATTAGTGCGATTAAAAATTTTTGACAGAAAATTATTAACTGGTAAATTATTAGTGGAGATGAGTCGCCACTTGGATTTTTTCAGTAATAATTACTCCTGATGAAGAATAGCTGAACCATTATCCACTCGCCTACCCACTCCATTTCTCATTTATTTTATGCCGAATAAGGACGATAAATTATATAATTATGTACGATCTACCTGTCTTTTGGATTAGCAACAAACTAAGGCTGTTCACAATAAATCGGTATTGATAATTGCAGTCAGAATGCAAAATATTATAATAAACCTCTTAAACCTCACCTGAAATAATGAAATCCCGTTGAACCATCACCATATTCAAATTTCGGCTCTTGCGATGAATAATTATTTTTCTAAATTCTAATTATTTTTTTCTAAATATATATTAATTGCTTATCAATTGCTTCTGAGTCATTGCATTTGCCAAGAGTTTATTAAATCTATTTCACGGATCAATTCATTTTTTCCGCGAATCATCGCGCATTTTTTTGTTTTCAATTATATTAAAATTAGATTAAAGAAAAAAATTTAAAAACAAATCAGTCAAGTAAGTCAAATCAGTCAACCACTCCGGAAATGGTCGCCACAAATTCAAGAAATCTCCATTTATATTAATCCTTTAACTGTTGACCTTCCTCGATGCTTTTTAATGCTTTTTAATTATGAATAAGAATGAAGAAATGGATCATCTATGCTTTTTTGATTTAATATAATAATAAATAATATCATTTCTAAAAATATTTCGCTTCTTTCGAATTTTTAAGAGTTCAACATTGACGACGACTTGAAAAATTTTAAGAGCTTTTTTTCAAAAGCCGTCGTGAAGTGCATTTATAACCAACGATTCATCGTTGATCATCGAATTATTGAATGAAATTTCGCTTATTGTAATACAAAAAATTTGAGATTGCTAACATAACACAATTCACTGCTATTAGATTTCTCGAAAATGTGGATAAAATTTAATTGTAAATTGAATTCAATGAGTTTGAAATGAAATTGTCTATTTAAAGATAAAATATTCAAAGAATATTTTTAGGTTTTTTATTAAACCTATTTATCATATTTCTTAAGTCTATTCCTCCTGGATATATGGAAATAGAAATAAAAATGAAGTTTTTTCCAATTAAATTTCTTTTCCGAATATGGTTAGCATTTTCTGAGTATGGAAACCTAAAAAAAGTGATCATAGCTTTATGTTCAGCAAAGGCTTGCTAAATCTTTCCTCAGAGCACTATTAACCAATGTGAGAAAATACTGCTGATTAAATATTCAACGAGGATTTGCCGAAAGTTGAAGGTTGATTACCACTTACCTTGAAACCAATTTTTGATAATTTGTGATTCTCGTTAACGAGTACATAATATTGTAAAATATTCTCGATACGATAATCGTCAATTAAAAATTAAAAATTCTTTCATCTTTAATATCTCAAAATTTGATAGCCATAAAGAAATGTAAAGAAGAAATGGAAAATGGAAAAAAATGAAAGGAAAAAAGCACCATTTAGAAATTTGCAGCATTTTTATAGGATTATAGAAATAACTAAGATAGCTGATTAATGACTAATTTCATAGGGAGATGTAATTCCAGATGACCTAATTTAGCGATACGGCCCAATGATACTGGACTAAATAAATGGAATGAGCATTGTTT